AGTTTTCCATCCTTGTTTATCTGTGTTTTCTCATGTTGTAGATTTCCATCCTTGTTTATCTGTGTTTTCTCATCTTGTAGTTTTTCATCCTTGTTTATCTGTGTTTTCTCATCTTGTAGCTTTCTTCCTTGTTTTTCTGTGTTTTCTCATCTTGTAGCTTTCCTCCTTGTTTATCTGTGTTTTCTCATGTTGGAAGTGCAATGTTGATTTTTGCGCGTCATAGTCCTTGAAAATTTGTTCGATATAAAAAGGTGGATTTTCAGAAGAAGTGACTTCAGTTCGGATCTTTTATTGTTTATTTCACTACAGTTACGATCTATTCTGTTTAATTTTCCAATAATTGCGCCTTTCTTGGAAGCTTTGGGATGATGGGAGTTGAAGTTAAGGAAGAGAGGTTTCTAATTGGCTTGTGAAACAAGGTAGATTGTATATTATTGTCATTGTCGATCATTAAGGTAACGTCAAGAAAATCTGTGTTCATCTTTTCTTGTTTGTTTGTTATGGATTTCGCGCAAAGCTATACGAGGGCTATCTGCGTTAGGAGTCCGTAATTTAGCAGTGTAAGACTAGAGAGTCATCACCATCCACCACCAACACTTGGGCTACTCTTTTACAAATGAATAGTGGGATTGACCGTCACATTATAACGCTCCCACGACTGAAAGCATGTTTGGTGGGACGGGGATTCGAACCCACGACCCGCAGATTACGAGTCCAGCGCCCTAACCACTTGGCCATGCCGGGCCACTACTTAATAAGTCAAAAGCACGCTGTACTAATGCACGTTATAGATTCGAATATAATTTCTTATTCAAACCATGTCAGTTTTGGTTTGTGTTTTAGTGAACGCTCCTGAAATAGCTGTAAAGCGAAACGTTGAGTGTCTAATTAAATACTAACAAAATTTTGGTGTTATAAGGTCGTTTATTTCTAATATAAGTATGTCCTCTATACACCAATATGCACTACAGAAAACATATAATGACCTTTCCTTTTCTGTCAGTGATTTCATTTCAAGAATCTATCGCGAAAGAGGATCTTATGATCTCACAACAAATAGAGTGGACATTAACTAATAAATCTTAGCCTTGAACCCAGAGAGAACCAACGGCTAAAAATGACTGTATCGAAAAATATTCTTTTTTATCTATAAATATGTGTAATAAATAAAGCGGGCTGGACAGAAATTTATTGTTCTAAATAAAGTGATTAGCGGATTCTCATAATGAAGAAAAAGGGGAATATAATACAAAGTTTAGGAAACTTAGAAACAAGCCACAAACCCAGAAATTGTGTCTAGTTTCTTTTGACGATCTTTCTATTCTTGATGCTCTTTTTCTGGTATATTATGTCTGTATGAAAACTACAGGAATGTTCACCCAGAGAACATCACGTAAGGATATTTAAGGTTAGTGAGTTCGCTGAGCTAAGAGTTCTGCGATGAAAAGCTATTCCAATGACACAATGTGCGTGTCATTAAAATTATTTCAGGGAAAATTTAGTCAGAGTAGGCATAATGTGCGTGTTAATAAAGTTATTTCAGAGAAAATTTAGTCAGAGTAGACACAATGTGTGTGTCATTAAAGTTATTTCAGGGAAAATTTAGTCAGAGTTGATGTAGGTACGATGCACTGGGAAGCTAGCTAGCGTTACCCTTGGCCACACACACCAGGTTTTCCATGATGAATTTATATGTCTTCGTAAAATTATTAATGTCCGATGAGAATTCACTTAAGTTAGATGATTTGTAACATTCGAAGTTTATAAATATTCCTGGTCAGATATCTTAAATTTTCCGACTGATAAGCGTTATAGCTTTCGACGTTTCATAGCACACCGATATATAGCAAGCTAATAATAGACACTCTCCCTTTGGCGTGACGCGTTGGTTATATTTATAGTCATGTGGAGGCGTTCTCGAAATTTCAGATGTATAGATATATTGTTGATTCTTACTCTCGAGAATCTTCTATAACTTTGGAGAATAGGCGGGAGTTTCGCAATACCTATCTAACAGTACAAGCTATGTATGTTTCTAAATATAAACGTAATCTAAACAACGCTCATATTCAAATAAATACATGACAACACATTCGTTACACGGAAAAAAAGGAAGCTATCTTAATTGAACAAACAACCCTACTCTGTTTGTTTTTTATAATTTCGCGCAAAGCTACACGTGGGCTATCTGCGTTAGCCGTCCCTAATTTAGCAGTGTAAGACTAGAGAGAAGGTAGATAGTCAACACCACCCACCGCAAACTCTTGGGCTACTCTTTTATCAACGAATCGTGGGATTGCCCGTCACATTATAACACCCCCACTGGCTGAAAGGGCGAGCATGTTTGGTGTGACGGGAATTCGAACCCGCGACTCCCAGATTGCGAGTCGAGCACCCGAACCACCTGGCCATGCCGGGCACCCTTCTCTCTCTCTCTCTCTATATATATATATATATAAGTACACACACACACTCATATATATATATATATTTATATAGTTAGATAGATAGATACACACATATGAAGTTTGAGGCATTTTATATACCAAATTGTATTGTGTGATGGTCCTTTGACATCAAACGCTTTAATAATAATAATGTAAACTACGCAATCAGTTAAAGTTAGATTCTATTTTGTAAGGTTTATATTTACTATTTATCAAGCGATTTACTGTATCCAAGTATATTAAAATATTTAATCTTTCCAAAATTCGCGCTAAGCAATTCCATGGGGGGCGTGCATGTTGTCCACATTGTTTATGATGGATCTCATTGATTTTTTTTTATTCGGTGAGTTTAACAAGCCATCTCCAAGCGTTATTAACAAAAGTTGGTTGAGCGCTACCTGTTGGATTTGACAACAGTTGGGTATGACAGAGGCTTACCTGTAACCAGTGGAGCAGACAGCAATTAAAACAACATAATCGTACATAGATCAACCGGTGAACGATATTCTCAAGAGGTTTAACTTTAAACTTCCCTAATTTAAAATTTTTAATGGCAAAAATAGTTGCTTCTTCTCCTGGAAAAGGAATTCTTCATGGGGAACACGCAGTTGTCTATGGAAAGGTAGATTATCAATAAATCATTTTTGTTCCCCTCTTTACATGAACATTTTGTGTTGTACTTGTAAATTTAAATGCAACTAAGTTTGTAACTTGAAGGCTAGTTTAAGTTTAAGAGCTGTGCTACACTTAGTGTTACAGCACTGTCTGATTCGATGAGACTAACTCAGTAACTGCTATTTTCATTTGATTTCAGTAAGCACACTACGTCTTTTCGTAACTGTGATATATAATATTATTATTAATAATATTATACATTAACTGATTAAATAGCTTAATTTGTACATGTATCTGATATATTGACACTTATTTTTAACATAACACTAATTTATGTTTTGAGATTTTGAGTTTAAGAAAATAAATGACACTTTAGAACTTATTTCAATTTGAAAGGTATAACAAGGGCCCATTTACAAATTTAGGTTATTTGATTTTGCAAAACTAAAGGCAATCAATCTCATTAGACTGGTATTGATACAGAAATGAAATATTGTAATAGGTAGAGAAAGGTTTTGGTAATATTTAGTAGTCCTAACACTAACAATGTTTCCCAATCTAATATGGATGAATGGAATCCAAATACCTAGATTACCAAATTTTATTTCTTCAGGAAAGGTTCAAAATGGAGGTGCAAAATATGACCATTGTTTTCCTTCCAAAATTCTATTTCAAAACATGGCTTATAAAGTAAGAAAAAAGTATTTGCTTGTCATGTTTCATAAAACGTCACAAATAAGTGTTGTTTGCAAGTAAATTGTTTTATTTATAGGCATATGAAGCAGGAATTTGCATTTTATGTTTTAAATTAGTTTATTTTTATGTAGTGAACTATTACAAAATAATTACGTGTTTTGATGCAAGTAATAATTTTTGGTGAAAATTCGGAAAGCATTATTTATTATTTAACTTGGACCTGCTAAATACTGTTAATACAAATATGTGTAGTTAAAAAAATCCAAGTCTTTTTTTTACAAACAGAAAATGAGGAAAGCTCAAATTTTACCTGTTTATTGTAGTTGTGTAAAAATAACAAACTATCAGTTTTAATTTTATACAAATTTACACCTTTTGTGAATTAAATTTATCAAACTTCTGCACCTTTACACCTAAAAATAAAAAATAAGTTTAATTTTTCTTACCACCAAGGTCATTTATTCATGCTACACTTTAGTACAAAGTGTATTACAGGTAAAATGCTTAATATGTTATGCTTTTTCATACCTAGGGCTTATTTACATGAAAATGTACTACTTTCTATTTCTGCCCATATCGTGACACCTTTTTCCACACTGGGCAAAGAGTATACTTGGTACAGATGTGATGCAGTCTCTCACTTATAATCTTCGACTCCGAAGATCTCCACTTTGGGAGTGTCCTTTGAACGCTTTTGAAGAATGCTTCGTTTAATCCCTTGCACTGGTCCCTTCACCTGTTCAATGTGAAATTCTAGCTATTTAAGTGAGAAGAGATAATGTACTGTATTGGAAGTTATAATTTTCTTATACTGAAAATGTATTTCTGATAGGAACTTGCCTCCTCTCACACTTCCTACCCTTCCTCTCCACTAAAAACCAGTGCTTCCATTTTTTTCCAAAACTCGAAGTGATAGTTCGGTAGAATTGAATAGAGGGAGTTATATGCATTAAGAGAGTATGTCGTATTCTTATTGGTAGAGGGTTGTTGTATGATGATTTGGATGTGAGATGCACTGGAATTAGTCAATTCCGGATGGGTGGGAGCTTCAAGGCGTGGCATTTTCAAAAGAATTTTGCAAATAGAGGGCAGCACTAAACAAGAATAGCTATTTATGTGAGGGGAGGTAAGCACCTATAGGAAATACATTTTCAGTATAGGAAAATTGTAACTTTCACATACTATAAGTAACCTTGCAGCTTTCCCATGTAAAAACAAAAAGTGCTGCTATAGGTGAATGACACAGAACAATAGGTAGCTAAAGCAAAAGAAACTTAATGACTCTTGATAAACCTATTATAAGAAAATTGCACAAATATATTTAAAAGATGTTTTCACAAATAATCCTAGGTTATGCTTATATATCATAAAGCTGCTTTAACATTTCCTGTTTCCAACTTGAAAGTAGGCTGTCCATATCTTCTCCCAGTCTTTATCTAGGTGTCTCTTAAATATCTACACTGAATCTGATCCCGCTATGTGTTTATACAGACCATCATACATCAGTTATTCTCTGGCTGAAAACTCTTGTCACTTTTTTTTTTTTGTGGTGGTAGTTGTCTAATTCATTATACTTGAGATAGATTAGATCGAATATTCTTTTATCAATAAAAAATCTTGTTGTCTATCATGAAATTGTAATACTGTTGCTTGCAGAACAAGCTAGAGTAATGTAAATTTGGTAAAATAATAAAGAAAAGCTAAAATATTAATATGTCATTTGCACCTGTTTGGAACATTTGTCTGGATACTTAGAAGAGAGAATTCTGAAAGAATCAGGCCTCGCTCTTTAAACAATCCAAATAGTATAACTGTAACACAAATAGTTGAATTTTTATACAAAGTAAATGTTGACTTTTAAAATAAAAATACCTATTGTTAATTTGTAAGAATTACCTGTAATGTTTGGACTAAGTAAAAGTTTTTGAAAATATTTAAAGACTATTAACCTTATTTTGTCCAGTATGTCAACACCTTTTAGGTGTCAAATGTACACCTGCATATCAAATTTGAAAATATAGGTAAAAATGATAATTTTAAATGTTTCAACACTTTTTTACTCAAACTATTTTAGACTCAATATTTTTGTCATTTCATGTTATTAATGCAATTTTAAAGAAAATGAAAAAAGTTTTCAAACTTGCATTTCTGTATAGCTCTGTAATTAGTAGTTATAAATATTTTTTTTTGGAATTTTTTCTTACCATCTTTATGTTTAGAAAGAAAATATTATCATCTCAACATAACATAATTATCAATGTTTTGTTTCTCATAATGATTCTATTTCCATGAATTTTCTGAGTATAGATCCATGGTTCACACCTCTTTTATGACTTCAAGCAGGTGATTGAACAACTACTAATGGCTCTGAGCTTTCAAATAACTGTAGGCAAGGTAGATAGAACAAACTGAACTTAAAAACAAACAAAAAACAGAAATTTCTATCGTGTATCACATTCACCAACTCTCCTTTTTTTGCCAGGTAATCCTGGCCGTACCTATCTCTAAAATCAAGAACAATAAAAACCAAAATTTACTGATATTGATCAAGAAATTGTGACTCATTCTCTCCCCCCAGTAAAAACACTTCTCCAACAATACTAATATAAAGTGGCAAAAACTACTTTACAGCACACTTGAACAAAGGTAACCTACCCCATTTAGTGAGGGGGATGACTAATACTAGTAACACAAAATAAAAAAAGAAATGGATGCTTTAACATAGATAATCAGAAATAAAACAAATAAAAACTTTAACACTGATCAGTTGTGTAACCTACATGAAATCCAAGAATTAAACTCTGTAACACTAAAAATGTACAGAGTAAACAAATTCTTCTAATAGTAAATCATATCAACTGAACACAAAACAGGCCCTTTAAAGTATAAACCAATACAGTAAGCATTTAACAACCCTTAGTGACATTAAAATCTACAACAGAATAAACCCTTTACGAATCACAAACATCAGTAAATACACACACACACACGTGTGTATATATATAACAAAAAAATACATACTTAGATAAGAAAATACAACAGTTAATACAAACAAATATGTAAGGAAGCAATTACATAAATGAATATATCAACATGCTATATATATACAAATAGGTAAGGAAGCTGAGGCTTCGCACCTATAGGAAGTCCTCTAAAGCAGCTGTGGTGTGTCATGATGGTGTGGTGAATGATTTCTCTGGCTCTCACAAGAACCTTACGAGTTTTTTTTCTGGATTCTGGAGTCAATACATCTTTTCCTCTAACTTTGTTGCCAGCTCCCTATGCTTCAGCAGATGGTCTTCCTTCTTCTGATTGGTCCTCTAACTTTGTTGCCAGCTCCCAATGCTTCAGCAGATGGTCTTCCTTCTTCTGATTGGTCCTCTAACTTTGTTGCCAGCTCCCAATGCTTCAGCAGATGGTCTTCCTTCTTTCTGATTGGTCCTCTAACTTTGTTGCCAGCTCCCAATGCTTCAGTCAGATGGTCTTCCTTCTTCTGATTGGTCCTCTAACTTTGTTGCCAGCTCCTAATGCTTCAGCAGATGGTCTTCCTTCTTCTGATTGGTCCTCTAACTTTGTTGCCAGCTCCCAATGCTTCAGCAGATGGTCTTCCTTGTAATTCTTCCTTCCACATGACTGCCTGCTCCTGGTTGTGGTGTTTAACAACTTCAGTCATGAGGCACTCTTTGAATTTTATTACAAGTTACAGCTTTTACAGTAAAACTGTAACTTGTAATAAAACAATAACTACAATCAGTAAGTAAATTCGGAACAAAACTAGTAACTCTATAAATTTGTTTAGGAGCCTTGTGGATAACTTCAGCTTCTCTATCTGTGTTCTATAAACTTCAACTTAGGCCAATGTTAATGCTTCCATTTTAACGTGGGAACAGTGTTCTTCACTTCCATTCCCACAGATGGTGTAGTGGTAGTAGCAGTTGTCATTACTGTGGCCTCAGAAATGGTGTTGGTGTTTGGTTGGTCTTCCTCCTTTTTTGACAACCTTTTAATAGATTGCAACTCCAGAAAAGTTCAGTTAGGATGATGTTGGTCCTTTCGGAGGAATACACAAAATGGATAATGCAATCATTTCTTGGAAAAACATCTGACAAGACACTTTTAGATCTTATCTCAGCATTTTAACTTCACTTTGGTTTGTGATTGGGTATCTGTATCTGGTGTGGAAGTTACCAGCTGATTGTATCTTTATTGCAGCATCAGAGAATACTGCTCATGAACTGGCTAGATGAAAGCAAAGATAACCAGAAGACTTAAGAATTTTATCTTAAATAGCAAAAGTAAGGTTTGAAAATGCAGAGTCTAACAAACTCTGATTGGTCTGAAAATGCAGTCCAAAGTGTATGTTAAGGTTCTTTCTAATGGTGAAGTTACAGAAGTCCTCTGCCTTGAAATTTCATCCAAGAGCAGAGTGTTAATATTATGGTTGGTGGTCAAGTGCAATGTCTAAAGTCTTTTATTTACTCACATATATTGTGCCTATAAAAAACTACCCCTACTATTTATGAACAACTTGTTCTATACAGGCATTCTCTAAAATCCTAGCTGCACTCTCCAAGTCATTGCGATAACAGTAGTCCACAATTATCCTGGAATTCTGCAGTATATCATCCACTGTATATCATCCATTGTTTGTTTGTTGTACAAAACAGGGCCTAAGTCCAGTAGAAAATGGGGGGGGGGGATTGTAGAGTAGGTTCCCATATATTGGCACAAGCACTGACCTAATTTTTTTTACCATGGAGATGTTTCTGGCCAACACTTGTGAAACAACAGATCAAGCTATGTTTACTTGCAACCATGATGTGGATCTAGCTGTTATTCTTATCTCTTTCCATAAAATTCTCTATCTGCCAAATATTTCAACATCAAAACTGAAACACTCTTATGCTGTCATTAATGTAAATAGCAGGTATGCTGTGTCTTTAAATAATGCTTCACAGGCCAGTGAGACCAGTAAACCACAGTTAACTTCAAACATCTTATCATCCAGATCATATTATCTTACTCTCATTCAGATGTTGCCTGCTAATTGTGTGTTCAGTAATTCAGATGTTGCCTGCTAATTGTGTGTTCAGTAATTAATTCATTTTGTGTTATTCAACATTCATTAATGACTTTGTGCAACACCTCATGCACATGCTTACACATGTATATTTACATGTCTCAAAGTTTTACTCATCATCAAATACACCAGTAGTTGTCAACAAACTGCTTCAGGCTAGTTCGCTCTAGCTAACAAACAAATTACAACATTAAAAATATAGTGTATAACAATACAATAAATTATCCACTAAGCCTTATTAGAAAAATATCACATAATAATGATAGAATAAAAATAAATTATCTTGAATATAAATTTGTTATGTAAATTATATATATATAGGTTTAACAAAGATATATATGGAATTGGCCTGCAATCCTAAATTTGGGTGTGATATTGTTACATGTATATCATATCAAAGTAACCTGAGCTTTAAATATGTTCGTTATCTCCATGGTTCAAGGGATATTTTTTTTCCTATCAGAATCACTTATATTTTATATATAGTCCTGTATGTGAACATTTCTTTATAAAAGAGTCATAAAATTTTCCTTAGCCTACTTCTGTACTTCTTTTTTATTACATCCTTTATCAGTCCAAGAAGAATGCTAATAATTGCACAATTTTTCACTGCAAGGGGATGATGTAGTGGAAGTTCAAACAAAGAGTGTTAGCAGATGGTTTGTTAAAAATAGTAATAATGACTTTCATATCTTTAACCCTTTCGAAACGGGTCACGGGTGAAAGGCCATGTCATCTCATTTGTTGACTCGCATTCAAAATTTTATTGAACTACTATTTTCTCATTTTATGTCAATAAATTGGGTATCAAACTGTAGATTATAATTCAAATTTTAGTACTATATAT